ATTAGCACGTAAGTGAACGTGATGGATTTGACTGTATATATATATATATATATATATATATATATATATATATATATGTGTGTGTGTGTGTGTGTGTGTGATGTAAAAAAAATATATATAAAAAAATTTCTTGAATATGGAACAGAACTTAGTACTTTAATTCAATTTAATTCAAATAATTATATTGAAGTTTTTTCGGCTGTTGTTTTGAAACATGGGAACTCTTATATAGCGCGAATCATATTTTGGAATCATATTTTTAAATAAATATATTATATATATATATATATATATATATATATATATAAGTAATGAAAAGTTTGGTAAATAATCCGTATGGAAAAACCTCTAGGAGGATGTAATCCAGAGAGCTCAATGTCAAATCTGATCCATTATTAATTCAATTTAAATAGAAAATAGACAATTGTGATATATATATATATATATATATATATATATATATATATATATATATATAATATATATATATATGGTTATATAATAGCCTGAATTTTGCGTTTAACCATAGAACATTAACCATCAATTAAATTTACACCACTAAAAACAGGGGTATATCATACCCGATTTTGAAAATATATATATAAAAAATATATATTAGATATAAATCGTTATTTGAAATATTTTACATGCAGGTACTTCCGACTCTCTACTTTGAGTTCACATTAATAGGAACTGTCAAAGATATTATTTAGGTAAGAAAATCAGTTACTGAAAATTGTAAATAAAAATAGGAAAATATCCGCTGGGTACTATATACCCATTTATGTTCTAGGGTTAAGCATGATATTTTTTAGACTCTCGACACTGGGTGTTGACCTCAGCGTCCATTTTTATATTTACATACGCCGTAACATTTATTTGTGTAGTCGCTCCTTTTTTTCATTGAAGAGCATTTTTATTTATTTTCGTCTAACGGTTTGTATATTTGAGAAATATTATTCTAGTAGAATATGCTCTCTCCGACAGAATTCAAATCAGACCGACTCGGCCAGTGGGCGTTGCCGACCAACCAATTCCAAAAATGCCTTATTGACACATATCCTTCCTCTGTCTATGAAAATGGCATTTCAAATATAAAATCATTAAAACACGTTAAAATTGATAAATACTATCGGATCAATAAATCCAAATCTATTTCTTCTTGTTTATCTAAATATCTATCTATCTATCTATCTATCTATCTATCTATCTAAATATCTATCTATCTATCTTAAATATATATATATATATATATATATATATATATATATATAAATATAACAGCAAATATATAAAAATAATCTTATAGAATTTTAAATTAATTTATAATATATATATATATATATATATATATATATATATATATATATATATATATATATATATGTATATATATATATATATGAATATATATCTCCACTATATATATGCATATATATATATATATATATATATAAACATAATATATATATATATATATATATATATAAATATATATATATATATATATATATATATCTTGTTTTTGGTCAAAGTTGAATCAGAACCAGAAACAGTAGTATTAAAATGTGCTCAATTTATGTGAGAAAAAAAAATAAGTAAAATTAAAAGTAATATGTGGAGCCAAGAATCAGGACGTCAACATTTTAATTGACCACCTGATTTTTAAATATATATATATATATATATATATATATATATATATGAAACATATACACGCATATTAATGTATATAAATAAATGTATATACATATATATATATATATAAACATACACGGAAATTAGTATATATATATATATATATATATATATATATATATATATATATATATATATGTTAGCAAATATATAGATATAGATCCGACAGTATGAAGAAAAATATATACGGAAAAACAAACAAAAATCCTTATATACAATTATGCTGTTTTAATGTTAATGTTAATATGTATTGATAATGTTATAATTTATGAATATGTCCTGAAGACATATATATATATATATATATATATATATATATATATATATATATATATAATGTTAAACGTTAGATATTAGTACATATTAAAATTAAAATATATTAATATATAAATATATACATTTCTATATGTAACTATACTTACGTTTGTATACACACATACATACATAATATGAAAAAAAGTAATTTCTCATTGATATAGAAGAATATATATATATGTATAAAAAATATATATATATATATGGCTCATACATACAGGCACCAACGTATATGTATATGGATTTGTATGTGCTTTTTCGTATTTAATGGGGGGTGCGTATGCAATGCGAGGAAGGCGTCGATAAAGATATCTACTAGATAGATAGAAAGCGAGAGAGAGAGAGAGAGAAGGAGAGAGAGAGAGTTTGTGTGTGTGTGTGTGTGAGAGATAGATAGAGTGTGTGTGTGTTTGAGTGAGGGAGTGTGGGAGAGAGAGAGAGAAATGTTGGGAAGAGTATTGTACACTTTATTTCGTCTCTCGTCGCT